TTAATTAAAAACAAACAAACAAAAATAAGTTTCTTTGTGATTGCCCCTAGTACAAAGTTGAGACCTAAAGACTGGGTTGGTTAGAGGCCTCCTTCTCTTGACAGCCAAATGAATGTTGGGAGGGACATATTGAAAATACAATGAAAACCCAACATTTCCTTTTCTAAAGAGATATCTGTGACACGAAATCTTTCAGGGGGTCAGGAATAGATATGCAATGAACTCCACTATCCATTTCACATATTCTCTCACCCTCATAAAAGCAACATAAACAAGATCTTGGAAACCAGTTTAACTTACAAGCCTGAAGGGAAAGACTTATGGATGAGGGTATTAATAAGAAATATTCCAAGGCCTACATTACACTTATCATAGCCCTTAAGAACCATATATTAATAAGATTATAAAGTGAATTATGGTAACCCAGTCACTTTGCTGTTTAGCTATGGAATTTCAAAATCAGGCATGTATCTGATTAAAGATGCTTTCCTAATGGGCTTTTGAAAAATAAAGAAGACTTTCCCAGTAATGTAATATTCAATATATAAATTTTTATAGTTTTGCTTTAACATATTTGTTCCGTTGTGATTGGTTGTTAGTACTGTGGTTAATGTGACAAGGTTCACCCAAGTATCTGTTTTAAGTAGCCAATAAGTTTATTTACAGAGCATGTGCAAAATGTTATTAGTGATGCCTCAAGCTAATGAAACTCTATTAAGCTGACCTTTAATTTTTAAAAATCAATTTAAAAAAACCTTGACTCTCCATAAACCAAGCATAGCAATGTTGGCTTGCATGAGATGATTCTAGAGCCCTATATCTCTAACAAAATATATAACAAAAGGGCTCTTTGCTATTTTAACAAGTAAAATGGATCAAAGTAAGAATAGATTCCAAAAGATTTTATTTTCTGGATTGATACCTTTAATGGCATCTCCGAATTCTAAACTCAACATCTCTCTTCTAATTGCTCCCTATTATCATTCCTTAGGAAACAAAGGGCAGCTTAGGAAAACTAGGTCCTCTGAAAAGATGTCAACTTAGGAAAACTGAATTATAGCTTAGCGTACTCTAAAGACTTTAAGCACATTACTTTAAAGTAAACTCTCATTTAGCCTAAATAATTACAAAGAATTATTTTTCTTTCCTCTGTTATCCTTGAAATTAGGTATGCATAGTATCCAGTCTAATACTGACGTTCTTCATGTTTTTTGTGACAAAGACTTTTTTTTTTAATTTTAGGCAATTGAGATTAAGGGACTTGCCCAGGGTCGCACAGTTAATAAGTGTCAAGTGTTTGGTCTGAGGACATATTTGAACTGAGGTCCTCCTGACTCCAGGGCTGGTGCTCTACCCACTGTGCCACCTAGCTGCTCCAACAAAGACTTTTTAGGCAGCCTGATGAAACCTATGGTGCCCCTTCTCAGAATAACGTGGTTTTTTTTAACATACAAAATAAGTTTCAAATGATTATTAAGGAAACCAATTATACTGAAATACAGTTAGCAAATATGTGTATGTGTGTGTGTTTGAGTGTATGTAAATATGTTTTAAATTCACAGATCCCAAATTATGACCCCTGGTAGTAGAAAGAGCAGTAAAGAGCAGTAGGCTATGAATCCTGAAACTTGGATTTTTGTCTTAGCTGTCATTTAATTAGTTGTGTGACCCTGGCAAATCACTGCCTTTCTGTACTCAAGTTTTCACATCTATAAAACAAAGGGACAAGGTAATCTCAAAAGTCTCTCCCAGCTCTAAACTGTATGATTCTAATAATACTGAAGTACCATTCAAATAAAACAACCTACATTTGTCTCCAAAAGAACCGTGTATGGTTGGTTATATGTCTTTGTTTTCCTAGAACACTAACTCCAAGAGCAGCAACTGCGTCATTGTTAGGTTTTAGGCACATATATAATATACACAGTAGATCCAACAATAATATGCAGCAAGAACAACAAAAAAAAAGATGACGTAGGATCTTAACTGAGGTGACAGAACCAGGTGTATGTAACTGGTTGAAGAAAATACAGAACAAGCAGCAAGAAAGATAAATAACCTCCAAATCAAAACCTGACTGAGGTAAGAGGAAGAAATGATGATTTAGTGTGTTTACTACCAACAACATTATTAATCACTGAATAACAGCAAATAATAGTAGCATCATGGCAAAACTGACCAAAGTTTCAACAATAATGTAACAGTTCATTTTTTATTTTAATGTATATTTTTCTCTCAAAATTTGTAAAATTTACCTCAAGTAAAGAAATTTAGCTCAAGATCCTCTAATTAGAAACCTAGAAGATTTAACAATTACACAAGGTCTCCCTAAGTACATATGCAAACATTAACTTTGGCATAACCTTTGTAATTTTTTCATGAACCTTAATTTATAGCATTAATGGCCTCAAAAGGACTAATTTCCAGTTTTAAGCACTAAACAGGTTAAGAAAACAGATAAAAAATTACTTTCAATATCTACTATAAATTTAGCTCATTTTAAATCCTAGAAAGTCCATTTCAACAATAAGTAAATGGATCTCTTTGATACCTATGCTTGTCTCCCCAAAGGACGCACAACAAGGAGACTGCCTTGAAGAAACCAAATGAAGTAGGAAGCCCTTCCTTTTCACTGCTCACCTAGCTGGTGTACATAAGCCACCATCATGGCTTCTCAAGTCAGTAGGAAAGTCCAAGAATTTCAGCTTCTTTCTGTGCATCACATTTGGACAGGGTGATTCAGTGAAGTGGTGAGTGTTCTCTTATTTCTAAGGCCGACACATGGAGAGGGCATGTGTCAGAAAGAGCGGATTATATTATTATATTAAACCAATGCCACTCCACCCACAAGTTCAGCTGACTCTCTTCGCATTGTAAGGGCAGAAGAATTCTTAAAAGTGGAAGTGATCTTTTAGTTAATCTAATCAGTTCCTTCATTTTATGGATAAGTTGGCTCTAGATAACTTAACCAGAACAAAGTCACATAGCTAGTTAATAGCATAACCATTACTCTTCTTTCCCAAACTTCTCTACACATACCTAAAAATATACACATCTATGACCACTCCCCACTCACATCCTCTATACGTGCAGTTTCATTCTCCTATAGCCTACATCCAAAATAGGCACCTATATATTTTACTCTGCTAATTTCCTGGAAATATAGCAGTATGAAGAGTTTAAAAAAATCTGCTTTGGGGGAAAAATATGTCAAGGCTGCATGCACATAAACAGCACAGTGCCCTTTCAGGGCACAGCAACCAGGATAAGCTGGTTGTGGTCTGGCAGAGCAATAGGGAAGAAAAGAAGACTGTCAGATTTTATCTTACTGCAGCAGGCTGCTGAATGCAGAAAGCCTCAACTATGTAGAATCTTCCTTCTTCAAGTCTCACTAACATTGGCTGTCTCAATCAACATAATATGCAGACAGACACAAAGCAGATGCCATGAGTATATACTAATGTATGGTACAAAGCTCGGCATGTAGACAACAGCCTTCAGGGCCCGGATGAAAATTCAAAGAGAGAGTGATCAGCTTGTGTGATCACTGGGCAGCCAGTCAACCTCCCAAGTTCTCATCCCATTTGTGCTCTACCCTGAGAGAGTCATGTGACCTCCCACATCCCATTCTTTCTTCTGTAAAAATGAGACATAATGTTCCACCATGTAGAGAAAGCTGCCTCTTCCAACACCAAAAACTTGAAGCAAAAAGCTGGGGTGATTTTCTTTGTTTTTACTATTTGTTACTTTAAAGTGAGCCAAGAAACAATCAGATGATTGTTTTTGTCAGAAAGCAAGGAGCCCACGTAAAATGTCAGGCTGAATTTAACCCCTATCATTCACCTCTTAAAGAGTCTGGATAGTATGTATAAGAGAGGCACAGAATTCAAGAACGTTAGGGTTTTCCCCCAACTCCTACACTGAGATGCTTCTGAAAACACACACAAAATACATATAGATGTGTGTTATGTGTGCACATATAAATATATGCACAGGGTGTATCCTTTCTTTTCTAGGCCAAAAGCCACTTTTGTCTGGAATAATTCCCTCTGTACAAGTAGACACCCATGGATTAGTCATGAGTATTATTTATAATAAGGGGTAGGTTAGGAGAGTCAGCACCTTTATGCCACAATACTATAATAAAGTAAAGCTTGTCTGCCAGGGTGTATATACCTGAGATAGACTAGGAAAGTATAGCTCCCCTGTTAGCTTATTATGGTAACTCAAGGAGTAAAATATACTCAAACCCCTACAAGAGAAACCACTTAATCAAGTGGCACCTCTAGCTAAAGATGATGATGCTTTTAGGGCAGCACTGTTTAGCTTAGTTTCAAGATTTCAACCTTCTTCGTGATTTCTATCTGAACAGAAGGGCCTCAGCCTTCAAGCATACAATTTATTCTCCCAGCTCAAAATTTCCTTAGCTTTACAAAAGTTTTTCCCCAAATCCCACGGCTTTAGAGTAAGAAAAGCATCAATGAATTGAAAAGCAAGCAAATCATCGTCATCTACAAAGCCTAAATTGCTGTCCCTAAAAATGGTCCCTTCTTTATATCAGACTCATCATTACTTTTCGAACCTTAAATATCATTTTTTTTGCCATTGTCAAAGGTTTCTACACAGGCATAGGGGAGTAAGAAGTTAAACTGAGTTAATCCAATAAGATTTTGTGCCTTCCTGTCCAGGCAAATTTCTAATACTTCTCATTTAATCAAACCTAGAACTATGACATATTTGGAGATATGTAAATAGTACAGGGAAAAAGTTCTTCCCTACAAAATCTCTGAAGATGTCTTACTGTGGAGGATATGGGTTATAAAAGCTTAACTCTATCACTGTGTCCATATTAATAATGGAATAAGAGAAGCCCAAAAAAGAAAATACTGTCCACAGGAAAAATAGATGTTAACAAGGGTATGAATCAGAATCAGCAGACCAGGCTAATAATTAGCCAAACTAATATTCTGTTCCCATAGAGCTTTATCAATGCCACTTACCATCTGAGTCTTTACAGTGTGCTTTGTCTTGTGCTTAGCTACATCCATTTCTTCAGAAATTGAGTCCTTCCTGGAATTATCCAGAAAATCCACTTCATCTTCTGCTTTCATGTCTGGCATTTCTGAAGAGACATAAGGGGTTTGTAAAGTGCATTTGAAAATGTGATTCTTTTGCCTTTCTGTTTACACAAGAGGCTGCTGCTTTAGTTCGATTTGTTTTTACTTTTATTTAAATAGAAAAGAATTCTTTCAGCAGCTGGTTTTGTTTCTGACACTACTAGGCTGCTCATTTTCCAAACAGTTGTGGAGCTGTTCCTGACCAAAAACAAACCATGAGAATGCAGCCTGCTCCTGGAGAAAAGTTAATAAGGCTATGGAGACAGCACTAGCTGAAGGTACAGACACATGGGCAGTGTCCGGTAAAGTGTTGTGCACATAGTAGGCACTAAAACATTTGTTGAATAATTGTCAAACTTCCATTTTTTACTGTTGACTTTTCATGAAAAATAAGGCCCCTCTCATTTGGTTAGAGAAAACAGATCAATCAATCATTCAATCAACAAGTATTTACTAAGCCCCATGCTATCTGCCAAGTACTGTGCTAGGTGCTAGGACAGAAATAGATAAATTCCTTAAGAGAGGTAACCATGCCTACCACCATTTGGAAAGGCAACAGACATTTACACAACAAGAGAGAGCAAAGGCTCACCATAGTGCTCTCAGGATGAACTATCTGGGATAGGTTGAGCCTTTACCACTCTGTGATGGCTTTCTAACTTACCATATACACAGATTAATCCATTACTGCTATTTACATATATGAAATATATAAGACATGCCTTAGCAAATGACTGTTTTCACATCCTAACTTCGCAAGGTCAAAAGACTGTACAAAACAGACACAATTATAATTTCACTACTTAGTAAAGTAAGTTTGACAGGCACATATAGCCTGCTTTCTTCTTAAGATATACCCATTAACTATTTTCTATTGACCTCTGAAGAACTGCTTAGTTGCCTTCAAGTTAACAGTCAAAGTTACAGGAATACTTTTATTTACTGAAGGGAAGAAAAGCCCAGCAGTATCATTTGAGACCAGAGACCATGTTCAACAGTGCACACTGTTGTAGTTCACAAATAGTGGTGGTTACTGTTACCATTTATCACAATTTGGATCAGACAAATACAGGAAGGAAGTGATTAAATGATACCCTAGAAAAATTTAAGATTCTGATACTTTCTAACAGGGGACTGTAAATGGTCAGAATTGAACTTGATATTCCAAACATGAATAGATGACTATTAGAAGAGACGACATGTTAGAGGCCTATGATTTTATGTGGAAAACTCTTGTTTGTTAATTTAGCATAAAAGTCTTACTGAAGTCATTATCCTGGAGGGAGATAGGACTTTTTATACAAAGGACATGGAGATTATTTTTAGCTGAAAATTTTTAAGATTTCATTCTGTAAATCCACTGTAGGAATTTATAAAAGTGCTACACTGAAATGAAGGCAAATGATGTTAATGTATATACAGATGAGCATATAATACACACATTATACACTCATAAATACATACATGTATGACAAAAATTTCATACAGCTTAGTAAGTATTAGATAATGAACATATATGTACCCTTCATCTAGGGAAGCTAAGTCTCTTGGAGTTTAAATGTCACACATCAAATAAAATGAAAACATATACAATCCTCGGACAGGTATCTTGATCAGAAGTAACCTTTGAAAATGTTCAACCCAGATATTGCCTTATGAAATCTGGGTGGTTTGTTGTATATAGGAATTTGTGTGTGTTTTTTCTTTTTTTTTTAGGGGGGAGGGACCTTTTTGGTTTAATTTAGTACCACTTCACTTGGCTACACCCGTCAACTAAAAACATATATGTACCTTGGCAAGTAGCCACCAGTCGTGACTGTAAACAGATAGCGAGTGTATACTGAGACCTAAACTTTACGTAAGACAGATCTGGGTCAGCAATAAACCACCCAATTTCCCAAAGCACAATCTAGGCAAATGTTTACACCTCTTTTCTAAAGCTGGAAATTTTGTGGGTTTTTTCCTTCTTGTTTTTCCCCATTTGAGTAAGTTTCTATTTGGTCTTCTAAAGAACAGCATGACAACACAAATAATATATACAGCAGTTAAAGGGAACACGAACCTTTTAACTTTGCCATACTTTAATCTGCCCAAGATAACAAACTATGACCTTTTAATGAATGTCTAACAACCCCCTTTACTGTTAGGTCACATTTCGCTGCCTGACTTCAGAATTAACATGTGATCAGTTAACAGTTCCCTATTCCAAGAAGGAAGTGGCAATTCCCTCATTACTGGGTATTTCTTTGTACAGCTAAGGCTGGAACAGAACTAAGGATACACTTTCCCTACTGGCATAGCAAGTCTCTACCCTTACATACTTATATAGCTATATTTGCTATTTAAAGCTTTCTTTTAAGACAGCTGCTTGGGCTATTCCCTCTAATTCTGGGTTAACAACATAACTTTGAATTTCCTGCTCGTCCTTAATTTTTGCCTAAACCTCCCAGATTTTCTCTCTATGTTTTCTACATATAATGCAACATGTGAAAAACCAATGTAGCTCACCCACTCTTCATTTTAAATCTCAGCCACTGAGCTGGAAAAAAGCAGTAATTCCAACCCATGTGTCCCAAGAAGCAGCATTCAAAAGAAATGAACACACTCAGGCATCAGCTTACAGCCCCTCCTGTTTTGGTGAAATGTCAACCGGCCAAAGCCCCCAAAATAGACTCCTCTTTTTTTAAAAGACAGCTTCTGATTGATATTAGAAGTCCTGAAATAACAGCCAACAACTTTTCATCTCTAAATATCTGAAACCCTCCCCAAAACTTTCAAAACCTGAAACCTCCAAAATGTCTGGAACATACATATTCAGTTACAAAAGTGAAAACCAGAAAGGAGAAAACCTTCCCTTGAGGGAAAGCAGCTGTAAAGTATTACTACGGTAATGAACACAGCTAATGCCTGACATGACATTGGTTCTTTCTTCTACCGTTCTACCTCTACCCACCCCATTTTTGTATGTGCCATTTTCAATATCCCTGGGGGAAAATATAGCAGAACACTTCTTACCTAATCCTTACGAACAAAAATTAATAACGTCTAGCGAGCACAAAGGTAGCTCTTCCCTTCTGTGCCCCAGCAACAGGTGATCAGGCAAAGTCCGGATTAAACTGGCCCTATGATCTCAAGAGGTAAAACTGTCCTCTGCTTCCACTTTCGTCCCAAATCGCAAAAACATGAGGTTATGCTGGAATGGCCCCTTTCCACTGACTGGTGGTTTCTATTTACTGTTGTTGGACATGGCTACCCATCGATTGAAGAGGTCGCCGTGTGAGCAATCTCCTTACTGCAGCTGCTTCACCGAGATAAGTGGACACAAGGTTTGCCCTATGACAGCACACTCAAAGGATGAGGCTTAGCGGAAATCCTGTGCGGGAAACCCCCTCTGCCCAGCCCCTAGCCCCAGACACTGTATAAGGCTCTGAATTCCAGGGCTGTTGCATTAAGTCAATAGACAATGTGACTGAAGGTTTTCTTCACAGGCAAGGAAGAGGAGGGAGTTTTGTTGTTGTTTTTCACTCTTTGCTCTCCTACAATGACCTAATACCACCATTTAGGAAGCTGGACTGCTAGATTGGAAGGACACTTAACAGCTGAGGCTTACTAGTATAAAGAAAACTTCTCCATGATCCTGGCTATTTTCTCTGAACCTAAACTGACAAAGAATGAGAGAAAGGAACGAGTCAGCTTCAGACACCTAAGGACACTGTTCCCAACACTCTCCTTTCAGCCTCACATGAAATACTGCAAACACAAGTCCAGCCTAATATTTACTTTGGCAAGAGTAGTTAAATCATGTGAATAAAACTTCTGTAGAAGCCCCAGTTTGGGCTGAATTGATCTGCCACCCAGATATTTTTCTCCAGGTTTAGAAAACTGCAGGCCTTATGTGTATACCAGGCATAAGAACTGAGAGGTGATGGCAGGCAAACCATTCAAAGTTTAAAGCAATTCACCTAAGAATTAGGTTAAAATAAAATCTCTTACATAACAAATATGACTGCATGGATGTTATTCAATCCTAAAGAAGTAATTTTATATAAATAGCAAAAAAAAATAATGACACTTGACTGCCACACCTGAAACACATTTGGATAAGATTGCTCATTTCAGCTTGCTTACCTGCCACAGGTTCAGATTCTTGGGAGTGTCCAGGAACCTTTTCCCGTTCTTCTTTTTTGGTTGTCCACACTTTTGAGTTTACAACTAATTCTCCTTTAGCAGGTCCATCTTCTGGAGTCACCCAAGGCCCTTCTGCAGCAGCACTTTCCTCTAGCTCCTCAGCAACAGGGTTTGGCTTAGTAGTATCACACTGTGGAGGGCTACCGCCCTCTCCCACGGCGAGCGCCCCACCTGTAGCTCTCACTTTTTCAAGAATAGTATCCACCAAATGGTTGGCAGTTTCCTCTATCAGGTTTTCTCTCTCCAGTGAATCTGAAGCATCGGCCTGAATAGGCAGACTTTGAGAAGGAACATCTCGGAAGCTTGTCTTTTGTTCAGCCCCATCCCCATCAGGCAAGGTTTCCTTGGTTTTGCCCACACAAGGGGTGGTGTCGCCCTCACCTGCCAAGGGCACCATGTCCCCAGTGACGTCGTTCTCACAGGGCAGCAGCTCTTCAGCAATGGGCTGTAGCAACACCCTTGGTACTACACTGTCTACCTCCACTTCCTTCAGATGTCTTACTATGGGGACAGTTTCATTTGCCTCCCCTTTCTCCTTACCAGTAGGCAGCACTTCTGTGATTACAGTTTGCTTCTCCAAGATCTCACCTTCTGGTGGGGCTCCTGGTAGGCCCAAGATTATATCATTCTCTTGGTCTGCCATGTTTTTCTGTACCAGAACATCCTGGTGGCCCCTAGGTATCTCCTTTGTCCCCAACACAGAAGGATCCTGGGTAGCCTCCTCTCTGGAATCCACAGTTACATTTCTACTCTCTTCACAAGAGGAGAAGTCCCTTTTAGACTGAGTCTCTTTTACTTCAGATTTTGCAGCCACTGACTTTTCCCTGTCACAAGCCTCAGATCTATCTTGTTCTGGGTCAGCTTTGGTTTTGTTTGTCACTGCCGGCAATGGCAAGCTGCACTCTCCAGAGCCAAACGTCCCCTGCCTGTCTGCAGACAAACCAGCTTCTAATGGCACCTGGCACTGTACAACTATGCTTTGCTCAGCTCGCAGTGAAACTTTTGCAGCCACTTCCTTGTTTTGTTCAGGTTCTGCATTGAGAATGGCAGAGGGTGTGCCCACTGAATTATTATTGTGTTTAAGTATTCTGCCCTCAGCACATGAGTCTAAGACAGGTTGATCACCAAGCTCTGATGTCTCTTCTCCAGGAGGTGGCGTCTCCTCTTTAGGCAAGGAAATTGAACAAAGTGGATCATCTGTAGTTACAGAACAGGCAGCTGCTTCATTTTCTTTATCTTGTTCCTGAACTACAGTACTTTCTGGCCCCACTGGCTCCTCGTCCATGCTGGACAAAGCTGAATCGGCAGGTAAAACACTTGTCCTTTCACTGGGTGCAGAAGAATCTGATTCTAACACATCCACTGTCTTGTCACTAAGACCTTCAACCCCACTGTCCCCTTCTACAGAAATGGAATTTCCCATACTTAGCTGAGAATCAGGAGCAGGAAGAAAAGATGGCAGGCTCACTGAGCTGTCTTCTGTCGGCAGTTTGTTGGGCACACAGAGCTCTAGTGCTGGGCCACAGAGATATTCTTCTGCCTTTGTTTCAGGAGTTGCTGTTCCCTTTTCTTGCCGGGAGGGAACAAAAGAAATCGCATCATCTTCAGTTACTGATTCAATCGAGGGCCTGTCTGGCTGAGTAAAATTATTTTCAGATGCCATTGCCTGATTCAGTATAAAACTTTCTTTTGCTTCGAGCAAGGCTGGGTGAGGAGGTGAAACTGATTTATGTCTGGGGGGTGAAGGGGTGTCCAGTTTTAAATCCTGTGTTAGGTTACCTTCATTTAAAATTGCTATAGAACGGGGAACTTCAGATCCCTGGTTATCTCCTTCAGGATCAGAGACTCCCTCACTCAAACAAGATTCTTTCATCTGAACTTCAGCAGGTGAATTTGATGAATTCCCCTTCACATCCTTGGAATGGATGGGTTTGCCATCCTTGCTCTCTGTTTCCATGTCTCCAAGAGGAGTCACTGAATTCTGTTGACGTACGAAATCAAAACTAAATTCGTCCTCTTCCGTTGTGCAGCAGATGGTTGATTCAATTTCCTGATCTTGGTCTTGAGCTGAGCTGCCTTTTGATGTCTGGTTCAAAACTGGCTCTTTTTCTGGGCTGGTCAAAGTTGAATCAGAAGGTGAGCCTGTCTTACACATGCTGGTTAAAGAAGAATCCATTTCTAACTCTTCCAATACCTCTTCCTGACCAGTGGCATATTTTGCTAAAGATGAAATGATAAGGGAGTGTTGATCCCCAACTCCCTGGTTCTCTGCTACAGGATCTGAGTTCTCTTTGCTACTTCTGCTTGAAGTTTCGGTTCCTGGCACAGTTTCTTTAGTAATGGTTTCTCCTTTACCAATTGTAGATGAAGGCTGAAGATGTTCATTGCTGTCTAAGGAACTTGGAGAGTCAATGCCATTTGGAACACTGGGCTCCTCCACAGGGCCACTGTTTCTTTCTACATCCAGGGTTCCAGCTCTGCTGACACTGGAGCTCTCATTAAGTCTATCAGTTTTACTTTCTTGCATTTCACACAGACTCTTCTGGAGAGTGGCCTCAGGAATTCTGAGATCACATTCCACTTTCTCTGTTGCTTCTGGAGTTGTGCACTCTGCTTCTGAATTGGTGACCCCGTCAGCTCCAGGGGCATTTTCGTCTTGGCTCCACTCACTGATATGTACTTCCCCTGTGGCACCATCTCCACTGCTCATGTGTTCATGGTCCAACACAGTTCCAGGAGATGTCATTCCAGTTTCCTCATTTGTATTTCCAAAGGATGTAAGGTCTTCTGTGTTATTCACGCTAGCAGGTGTACTCTGTAAGCATCTGTCTTTCTCTGACACAATCTCAGAGACTACAAATTGTGCTGGCTCCACCTCTTCCTCTTTTCTCTCCACGCATTTATCTTTCCTTCTACAGGAACAATCTGTCTTCCCTTTGCTCGTCAGGTTTGAAAGATCATCTGACTTTTCATCCAAACTAACTGGGTCCCCTTTGTGGTCAGGGTTGTCCCTGCCTCCAAGTCCCAGTGGAGAAGAATGCTGCTGGTCATCCACATCCAGGACACTGTGAGTAGGTGGAGGGTTCTGTGATGTTATCATTAAAGGGATACGATCCTCTGTCTGTCTGAAGTTTGTTTTCTGCAAAGGCAAAAGAAAATGTCAGTAATGTAAACTTCATAACTACACGTGTTATAAGGGAATGCAAGCAGTCACATCTGACAGAACCCCCTACTTTGTAAGCTGACTGAAGTCTATCTAAAACTCAGTCTTAATTTATACTTACTCTTAGTTTTCTCTCCCATATCTGCATAGTCACCACGATTTTGAAAGTTGCTCATGATACTCAAGACTACTGTTTCCAGGAATTAAATATAAGCTTATTCTAAAGAGTAGGATTAAATTTTAACCCCAAAATGTTGGACAAAAGTGTATCTGCATACTGGTTTGGATGAACGACTCGGGTAAAATGCTCTCTAGGCCTCCTCTCCAAGGGACACACATCACTTCCAACTTCCTTTATCCGTTCTAAACACAAACAAATTCACGACAGTTTGCCAAACTTCCCCTAGTTCTAAGATGCAGCTAAATTCCCAGATGCCCCAAATATTTACTGAAGTATTATACCACCCTTTAATCCTACAAATAAACTCCACCCTATCCATCTTCTAGCAGGAGTGGGTTGACCTGAGTCTTTCTTAAAGGCTATGAAGTCTTTAAAAAAAAAGTCCTGCTCATTAAGCAGCTGTATAGGCTAATAATTTTAGCCTTGGCAATAGTCGCCAAATCTCTTTCACCTTTTTGGTGGGGGAAAAGTATCTTTCTGCTAGCTAATATGGTAAATTTCAAATATAAAAACTTATAGATTTCCTCTTTAACTCTTGAGCCTCACCCATTCTCAAATGAAAGTAGTATGAATGTATCACAATGGACTGAACTAGAAATCAGATACTTATGTTCTTGTTCATGGCTCAACATCTGCTCTACTCCACAACCTCATACTCATCTAACTGCTTCACTTTCCCTATTGGTAAAACTGGGGTTCGGGGCTTTTAATAAAAGTTAGCCAATACATAATCATAAAACTTGTTATGAATATTAAAGTCTTAATGATAAAGCGGTCTTCTTTGGGAACCTCAGCATTGCGACCTTCCAACTTCCCTTTTCTTCAAAAGGATATGGACATGAATCAGTCTAAGTTTCTACCATGAGAGTCAAAGTCCCATAAGTGTTAGCAGTTAATTGCTCATTAGGTCAAAAAATCCAGAAGTACGTAATGGTTAAGCTGGCTTTAGGGCAACAATAACCTATCAAATGTCTGGAAAAAAACAGGTGACTGAACTGACTCCAAAGTACTGAGCTTTTCTACATTATCCAAAAAGCATACAGGCGGTGGCTGTCCTGACTCACCCCTCACTTTGCCTGCCTTATCCACAGTAGAGACCCTTCTGGCACTTTCAATAGCACAGCTTCAATTGGACTGTCAACTGTCTTATGGAGAGAGACCTAAATAAAAGCATGATTTCCGGGGAGCACATACAGGCAAAAACAAAAGGGAATCTAGTTCTGGGATAAGCCTGTCTCTCAAAAGGAAGAGGCAGAGGCACCACACGTTCATGGAATGAAGTCACCAGGCCTAATGGGCTGAACAATGATGCCTGTTGCAGAGGAAGCCTCTGGTATTTCAATGGCCCTGAATGAACCTAAATTAAATAATCACAAAGCTGCTTTCCAAAATCAAATCAAATTAATGCTGAATAAAACCTGGATGGAAAAAAGAATCTAAACTTAGCTCTTCAGATCATTTATGAAAACTATAACTAGTGAATCTATATTATTTAGCTTCCTAACAGCAGTTGCTTTTAAGTTATTTTTCAGATTTACAAATTAATATAGCCATAACATAAAAAATTCAAAATGATCTAATCTAGCGTAATTTTTTTAAAAAAAATTATCAACTATCTCAGAAAATATATTGTATATTTTGTCTTTCAAAGTCAAACAAATATACCAATATACTTCCTTTATATAGCTCTGAGCTCTGCTATAACTAAATGCTATATATCTAGTCATTGCTTGAGTTCTTTGGCAAAGGCCAATCAGAATCAAAACATTATTATATCTGGAACATAAAAACAAGGTCCAGAAACTTATTATACATAAATAAACATAATAGTCATTTGCAAGCACTGATCACTTGCCAGTGTTTCTGGTTTCAAAAAACTTCAAGATCCAATTCAAACTTCCTATATCTGGCATTTAAAACTCTATACAACTCGGCCCCTTCCTACCATCTTCATCATCCAGCAATGCTGGAGTAGTCAAAGTTCTTCAAATATGACACTCTATCTCTGTTACTGCACTTGCCTTTGCACTGGCTGTTCTGAATACCTGGGATACTTTGCCCCCCTCATTTCCATCTCTTAGCTTTCCTGGCTTCCTTCAAGACTCAGCTAAAATTCCCCTTCCTAGTTCCTCCACATGATCATGCCTTTCTCAGACAGCTTTCCATCTACTAGGTTCAAATTCTGCCTCAGACAATTTACTAGCTCTATTACCCTAGGCAAATCACTAGATCTCCCTCAGTCTCAATTTCACATCTATAAGATAGGGGGATAATAATAGCACTGATTTCCCAGGATTGTAATGAGAAAACATATGTAGAGTGCTTTGCAAACCTTAAAGCATTCTACAAATGCTAGCTATTATCATATCTCTTGTATAAAACTTGTTATTTACATGCTATCTCCCAGGAGAATAAAAATTCCTTGAGGGTAGGGAATGTTTTTGCCTTTTTTTTTGTATTGCTATTACTTAATACAGTGACTAGCATATAGTAAGTGCTTAATAAATGCTCGTTGACTGAATGCCCTAAATCTAATCAAAGTTAATTTTACTAAGGAATCAAAGGCTTGAGATATGGATTGTTTGTCCTCACCATAAGCTGCTGCTGGATGTTCCTGAGTTTAAAAATATGTCCTGTCCGACTGTCTCTAGGGTGTAGGGATTCCTCATCTGATTCAGATGTCAATGTATAAATGTCCAACTCTCGGTGATGTCTCACAGAGCAATCCCCATAAGGTATTTCATAGGATAAACTGCTCCACGAGTCAGGTTCTCCAGCATTCTCCCTGAAAACAAACAATCTCAGGTTAATATATAAATTATAGCTGACAGGCAGTAGGCTTAGAGCTACATCTGTGGATCTTGGCTTAAATTACTGATCTAACTGATTATCTTTTGCAGAAGAAGTTCCATAGGGACCTGATCTTACATGCTTTACTTACATGCAAACACATACATCCATTCCCACACATCACCCACTGTAGCAAGAGGCCACAAACAGGTTAACTGGGGGGGGGGAGATCAAGAACCATTGCAAGGGAAGATCAGAAGCAGCTTTGGGTTCTCGAAATGGTTAATATTCTGCTAACTAATGAGTAATGAGGAAGCACAAGGAGATCATTTTTAGTTTGGTTACCCATAGAAACATGGCTTACAAGAATGACTCTTCTGTGTATTATTTGATACCTTAGGCTGATTTCAAATGACAGCAGAGGCAGGGGCCCCAGTGCATGTAGGGGATATTTGAGGAGTAGGAAGCACCCTGCAATTCCTCCTCCTCTCCTTCTTCCCTTCCCCTCTGCAGAAATTCCCAGTGTCAACTAAACAGAGAAATACTATTGACTATTCTGTTCTTGTCAACATGACCATCCAACATTGTTTGATACACAGAAACTGTTTCCAAGCAACTCAAAGTGCTTCCAATTATACTTTAAAATATCCTAATATTCCAAGATAATGTGGTTATTAATGAATACAACACACAGAGTCATCTTTGTGACACAGTAAAGACATGGTGGTATATAACACCACAACATCATCGAAAGAGAAAGAGCCTTCCCTTCCTAATCCTCTCTGGGGTTAATATTCTGCTTTTCCAAAAGTTAAGAATCACGTAATCAATGAACAAACATTTATTTAGTGCCACTCACTGAGCTAGATACTAGGAATTTACAGATGAAAATACAACAGTCTCTGGAAACAAGAACCTCATGGTACATTCCAATGAGGGGAAACCACCCCTTCAGTCATCCAGGTTCTCAACCTATGTGTCATCTTCCAACTCCCCCACTCTCTTATCACTATCCCCTCCCCCTAGCATATGCAATAAGTTGCTAAACCCTGTGGCTTCTTCCTTTCTAACTTCTCTTCTCTGACAACCTTGGTACAAGCCCTCCTGACTTTATGCCTAGACTATTATAATAGCCTGTTGGTTGATTCCACTGCTTCAAGTCCCTCCATATTCCAGAATATCCTCCAGCTTTTAAATTGATCACCCTAAAGCACAGGTTGGCCCATGTCACTTCTCTACTCCAGTGGCTCCCCATTACCTCCAGGATCAAATTTTAAAAATCATCTGGCTTTCAAAGCCCTTCATAACCTAGCCCCTTCCTACACCCTACCCCCATTCACACATTTTAAAACCCAGTGGCACCGGTCTCCTTACTGTTCCTTACATGAGATACACCTCCCAACTTGGAGCATTTTAAATGGCTATTCCTTATGTCTGGAACTCTCTCCCTCCTTATCTGTACCTCTTCGCTCTCTTTTCTTCCTTTAAGCCTCAGCCAAAGTCCAACCTTCTTCAAGATACCTTTCTAGTTCCTCTTTAATCTCAGTGTCTTCCATCTGAGATTATATCCAATTTATCCTATATATCTCTTGTTTGTACCAGTTGTTTGCATGTTGTCTCCTGCATTAGACCAGGAGCTCCTTGAGAGAAACAACTGTTTTTCGCTTTATTTTGTAACCCCAGTACTTAGCACAGTGCCTGGAACATGTAGTAGAGTGAGAAAAACTTGAGGTACAAAACTATGAAAAAAATAAGGAAAGTTATAGGCATACTAATCATCATGAATTACTCAATTAGCTTGCCACCTTTAAAGTGTTAACCTACATTTTAGGCTTTTTGTTTTGTTCTGATAGTTTTCTATTACTGGTTCCTCACTTCATTCCAACCTTTGAGATCACTGCTTGTTCATACTAATTCAGCCTTCAAACCAGAATGATTTCTGTTTCTCACTTACCCAGATCTCTATGGGGACAGGGTCCCCTTCACTATAGATCCTAATCTTACCACCTCAGCTCTCTACATACTCTCAACTGATGATTTAATCCACCCCACTGCTGTGATTATTATTACTGTGAAGATTATTTTTAATGTTTTAAAAATAAATTTATTGATCTTTTATCCCTATAACATCTACATATCCCTCTGCAGCCTTCTCCCAGAGAGCCATCTCACAAAGCAAAGATGTTTTTTAAAGAAAAAAAGGGGGGGAGGAGGGTACAGGGATCAGCAAAACTGATCAATATATTGAAAAACACTTATGATATATGCACCCCACCTTTTATGCAGATGATGATTAGCTTCATACCTAACACTCCCCCAAGTTTCTGTAACCTGTTTCTAGCTATGTGCTGATTATTTAAAAATCTAAGTGTCCAAATACAGTGTGAAAATTTTAAAAAACTAACAAGGTCGTCATCTTCTCTCGCCTTCCCATCTCCTCCAATCCAAGGCAACTCCTCAGTCTGGCTTTTCTTTATTTATGTCACTACATTTTCTCTGTTGCCCAAGCTTGAAGCTTTGACAGCATTGGTGATTCCTCCTTTCCCTTCTACATCCAATTGTTGTTCAGTTGTTCCAATCATGCCTGACTCTTTGTGATCTCACCTGGGGTTTTCTTGGCTAAGATACTGGAGTGGTATGCCATTTCCTCCTCTAACTCATTTTACAGATGAGGAACTGAGGCAAACACGGTGAAGTGACTTGTCCAGGGTCACACAGTTAGTAAGTGTTTGAGACCAGATTTGAACTCAGGAAGATCAGACTTCCTGACTAAAGACCTGGCCCTCTACCCACTAGGCTACTTAGCGGCCCTCTACAACCAAAACAGTCTTGTAATTTCATATCTACAAACATTATTGCATCCATTTCCTCCTTTTCATTACCACTGGTATCAACTCCATTCAGGGGCTAATTGGTCTGGGCTATTGCAAAAACTTCCTAAATAATCTCCCAGCTCTAGTCTTTTCTCCTGCTAATTTATTCTAAATGGGTCTGGCATAGTATGAACCTTTCAACAATCACTAGTTGAGATGCTATCACTCCCTACCCTGGAGTGAATGAAAGGAACAAACGAATGAAAACCACTCTCTACAGAATAAAGTCCAACTCTTTAAGACAGGATTTAAGGAAATATATGTTCTGACCCCAAACTACCTTTCCAGCTTGATAGCTATAACTTTTCCACCCTGGTCATTTCTCAAATATGCCTTGTATTTTCTGCTTTTATTTATAGCACTCTCTTTGTTTGGAATGTCCATCCCTCTCCCCACCCCCCAAACAAACAAACACCTCTACAAAAATCTGACTCCTCTTTCAAGACCCAGCTCACATGGCACAAAGGCAGCTAGGATCATTCCTCACCCTACAACAAACTGCAGTGCTCTCACCTTCCTCTGACCTCTCTTGGTATTTTGACCATACCTTCCTGAGGACATTCACACTGTATATTGCCAGGTTCTAATCTAGTTACTTGAATACTTATTGTATTACTCTTTTAGAGAAGTACCAGTACCTCCCACTCCCTACCATATGGTATCTTACAGAACCTGGCCTGAGGTGGACACATACATATTTCTGAGATAAATAAATGACTATATGGACTAGGGAAGAGGTGGATATTGAGCAGAGGAGTAAGATGGGGAACGTGGACAACTTTCCAGTTCCTCATGAGTGAAGGTTTTGTGGTCTGGCTTTAAACTATGATGTTCTCACAATATCTTAAATCCCAACATTTGCATGTAAGTTTACCAAAAAATCACAGGTCGAATATAAATAATTTTTAGATTTCTGTTTCTTTGGTTCACTGATGTCCCTGCTCTCAATTGCAGACACACAAGGGAGTTAACGTATAGGAAAACAGACTAAGCTGATGAAGGTTTTTGCCTAGAACTTTAAATTCTCTTGTTATCTGAACCCATGAAGGGGGAGAGCAGTATAGATAAACCAAAAATAATTATACTGTTCTTTCCTTAAAGAAATACTAACAATTCTTTGCATTCCCTGAGCTCGTAAGAAAAGCTAATCTTGGGAAAGAAGCAGAGGGGAGGAGAGGGGACAAGGCTGGAAATTACCTAACAAAGGCAGTTAGGTGGCACAGGTTATAGAGAGCTAGGCCCAAAGTCAGGAAGACCTGAGTTAAAATCCTGCCTCAGACACTAGCTGTGTGACCCTGCACAAATCACTTAACCCTGTTTGCCTCAGCTTCCTCATCTGTCAAATAAGCTGGAGAAGGAAATGGCAAACCACTCCAGTTTATCTGCCAAGAAAACCCCAAATGGGGTGGTCATGAAGCGTGAGAATGCCTGGAACAACTGAACACTTACCTAAGAACACCTAAGACAGGGAGCACTGCTCATTCTTTTTCTGAACATCTCCAGAAACAATTAACTCTAAAATATTTCTTGGTAGCTTAGCCACATTTGAAAGGCAGAGAAGTGTGGTGGAATATGTACTAGATTTGAATTCTAAGGGCCTGAGTTCAAATCTTAGCTCTGTCACTTACTTTGTGATCTTGGAAAAATCATTTAACTTTTTTTGGGGAGGGGGGCACCTCTATTTCCTCCTATTCAAAATGAAGGGTTTGCACAAGAATGCCTCTTGAGGCCCTTGCAGCCCTAAGTCAGTGATCCTATGAATTCTTGACTCTGACACTTACGGTGAAGTAACCACCTCTCTGAGCCTCAGTTTCATTATACATCAAAAGAAGATAATAATCACAATACCACCTGCTCTCCTTGCTTCTCAGGGTAGTAGTAGTTCACAGAGAAATTCAAATACCACTTTCTACATGATGCCTTCTTGATCTTCCATCTGTTGATGCCCTCCCTCACCAATCCATTTGTGTACCTTATGCTGATTTTGTATTCATTCTGCATGTGCCTCTACGTGTATGCATGTCTTTCCCAAAAGAATGTAAACTGCTTGACAGCAGGGACAGTCAGTTAATCAGTACTTGTGGAATGACTGAGAGGTGTGAGGAAAGCACTATAATGGATC